GTGCTCAAGAACAGTCTCCTTTTTGTTTGTTTGCTTTTTGTTTGCTTGTTTGCTGTGCTGAAGTTTGAACCCAGAGCCCAGTGCATGCGGAGCAAGGGCTCAACCCCCAGGGCTGTGCCCTCGGCCATGGCAGACGATCTTACAGTGCCTGCTGTCCCTGGCTCCACTGATGACCACATTGTACTTTTTCACTAATTTACATTGCATTTTGCACATGTTACATTTGATTTTAGTTATAGTTGAAAGGACATGAACAAAAATTAGAAATTAACTCTATACTTAAAATTCCTTGGCATTCTGAAAAAAACACTGAGTTGAAGAAATTGGGGGAAAAATATCTTTTGAGCATGATGAAACAAAGAAAAAGGTCTGCATTCCACAAAATACTATTTATAGGAGTCAATAAAAGGAAACACGCTTAAGTGCAAATAGTTTAAGAAATGGGCCATCGGAAATCTGCAAGGAAGAATTCGCAGTGTAACCATGTATCCCATTTTTCCACTTGTGAAACACCATATTAAAATGTAAGCTACTTCCAGATCCGCCCACTTAGTTGTTGGCAGGTGATGGATATTGTATGTGCACGCGTGGAACTACTGGAGCTTTGCAGACCTCGTGGTTCCAATATTTTCACCACCAGAGGGCCAAAATCGACCCACAGACCTTTGGAATCTAAAGGTTGAGCTGACACCCAGAAAAAAACTACCTGCTATCTCTATTCGGACTTTATTTTTAGTTTTTTTACTTGAACAGACATAAAAGTGCATTTCAGCAAAATTCTGTCCTGTGTTAAATAAGAAAGGAATTTATTGTGATTAACAACACTTTTCCATTTGAATGGACTGCCAGCTCATTATTTTCCCTTCAGCTGGATAATGTAGTCCATAAAAGAATCATTTTTAAAAACAATTTACCACCAGATCTAGGTAGACTATTACGGAATTTCCCAACCAGTCTGTCTCCTTTTGGAAGCCATTCTAAATCAATGGCCCCTGTGTTCCATTACGCATGATTTCTGTTATGCTTCCCCAGCCTTTTCTCCTTTCTGTTTTCAAGGTCTGATCAGCTTTCTATGCATCTCCGAGCTGCTCTGCATGGTTGTGATTCTGTCACATGTCCTCACATGTTCTGTCATCTCCAATACCAGAAGTGTGGGCTAACATTTGGTTTGTTACGCTAATTATCAGGTATGAGGTAGTAAAGAGGCATTATCTATAACCATAAAAGTAATAAGAATAACAAAAAGGGAGATATTTATATAGCATATGCACATGTATGGACTTTGTAGGAATTTGGCATTGTTCTCTTTCTAGCTGCCTAGGATTTTAATATTTCAATTCTATTTTCCTTCCATAAAATCTATTCACAGTTCAACCTAAATGGCTTCTATGTGACCTAATATTTGCTCATTCTTAGAGATTAGCTGGAATTTAAAATGCCTTCTATATAACATTTTTATTAATATAAAATAATTCACATCCAAAATTAATCATGCAAACAGTATTAGCAATAATGTTGAGCAAGTTCACTTGGTGCCAAAAGTCACCCAAGCGCTACAAAAGATTTAAACTTTGAGAACTGACATAGTGCAATGGTTGTCCCCACTTCACATATTAGGAAGCACAGCCAGATCGAGGATTTGGAACTTTCCTCCACGTCCCCAGGCAAAAGGTAGCTGAGCGGCAGTGTGCACTGTGGAAATGAGACTCCGCAGTCACTGCCTGTGCTCACAGCTCTGTGCACCTGCACTGCCCTGTGAAAACTATGCCCTCAGTATTCATTTTGTACTGTTACTTGAGAAATATTTATGGGGTGTCTATTTGGTATTAAGGAGTAAGTAATCACTGAAAATATTGTGAATGAACTTCACTCTAGAAGGTGCAAAATCTGCCCGAGAACAGAGGCAGACGGTTAATACTGACAACAAAGCTCGCTGGTGGCCCAGACGGTTATACATCAGCTGTGAGAGCCAAAACAGAAGGTGGACATGCTTCCCAGGAGGTCTTCGGTCAGGTGTCTGCTAACAGCACCAGGAGATGGGCTCGGCCCGCCTCACGGGAGAAGGGCAGTACCCTGCAGAAGGGTGGTCGTGCAGGTCCCAGGAGAGGTAAGTTGTTCACTCTTCTGGAAATTGAGCTGTACAAGTGAAACGTGATGCAAAACACACAGAATGAAAATTAACTGTGCATTTCATTGTGTGAAATATTTCAAATTTTAAAAATTGATTGCCATTGTTTTTTAAAGTTGGAGAAGCAAGAAGAGGCCATATCAGAGCTGGCTTTACAGGACCTGCTGAGGAATATGCAGGTGATAACAAACACCAGGACTAAGAAATATTGGGTGAGAAAAATACATAGGGAAAGAAAGCTAGGTGTAGTATATCATGACTCAGCTATGAACATGGTCATGACAGTGTGAGTCCTAAAACTTGAAGATTAAGTACATGTTAAATAACTATACCCAAATTTGAAGGAGGCAAAAAATGACTGAGTAGACAGGATAAGTGAATATAATAAAAGCAAGTCCCCCTCTTGCTCTGCCAATAGCTAATGTGTAAAACCAAAATAAAACAAAATACTTATACGCACATTGTTAGCAATCCAGAGTCAAATTCCAAGAAAAGGAACAACTAAGAATTGTGATTTTTTTATCTCTGGGTTATAAGATAGGTCTTGTTGTGTACAGGACTGCTGGGTTCTTTTTTGTAAGAAACTTTGTAAAACTTTTTAGGACTATAAAGTATGTTCATGTATCACTTTGATAAAGATAATTAAATTTAAAATCATTTTTGAAGGCAAACTAGACAATCAGTGAATTGGAAGCCAGTGCAGTGAACTAGGACATGGCCACTTCAAAGAACTGATGGATGTGTATGGTGGAGAAGGGGCACAGGGCCAAGCTCGGCCTCCAAGACAGCAGCTGTCACCACGGTGGGGGCATTCACAGGGCCAGGGCCAGGCGCTGGAGAGCACAGGGGCTTTGCTCAAAGGATTTTTACAACTCAGCTGTGTGAAGACTAGAAGTGACAGCTAAATGGGACATTTACATAGATGCGTGACTAATCGGATTATTTTCTTACTACAATTAATACAATTTGGATGTCTTTGGTGTTGACATCGTAGACATTTTTAAACCCTGAAGCCATAATGAAAAGATCATAAAACTCCTTCCAAACGAAATCCAGCCTTCCTTGCCTGTCTCGGAGGGGACAGTGAGCAGAATGCGCCAGTCTGCTGCAGTCACCCAGGCTCATCCTGAGCCCTTCTGTCCCAACAAGAGCACAAACACTGAAGCCACAATTATGGTATTTCCAGGTATATTTCTGGGATCACATTTTCCCAACTCCCAAAACCTCACAGCAGGGGAGGCATAGGCTCAGGAGCAAAGGAATGGCTTCCCTCAGGCAATCAGAACTCTGCTACGTGAGGCTGAGCAGCCTGCTGACCCACATGCAGGCTGCTTCCCTTGCTGGGATGCTTTATTTTGTTTTGTGTTGCATTCTGACCTTCATAGAATTCATTCCAGAAAGGAAGACCTCAAAAATAGGTCAGTTCCAACCCACATAGATTGGAAGACCCATTTAAATGTTTCTTAGTGATGGGAGATGCACGTAATAAAATAACCAGTTTCAAGAAGTCACACCCCTCCTACTTGTTGGAATATAGTTTTATCTTTTTCTTTATGTCACTGAAATTAGAGAGTTAAGAGTGGTTAGACTTCGAGAATAAATATTCCACCCTGAGATTGCTATTATTCTTGATGACGTGAAACATTGGCTGCTGGAAAATTCTTTATTCTTTGGTAAACCAATACCAGACTTGTTTTTTCTTTTAACCAACTCTGTAGATTGGAAACTATGAAAATAATTTCAATCAAACAAATGGACGTTCTCTCTCCGGGCACCCCATGCTCTGTGCTGATAAAGAGCCTCCTGCTTTCTAAATGTGCCATGGTGAAATATATCTCATCCTCACATTTTGGTGTATTTCCTGGAAAACATTTTCCAATGTTTTCAAAGTTAACAGTCTGTTTTGCATTACCTCTTAAATGAAGAACAAGTTACCAGCTCAAAAGTCATGGCTATCTAGCATTTCCCTCCATGAAGAACATCCTTACCCCCTTCTTCCCTCCACAATGGTACCTCCGGATGTTTCCCATTTACTTCCACAGCTAATTTGGCAGCTCCTGGGCCCAGCCTTGGACTTTCTGATTCCCTGTGTCTCACATGGATTCCATGGGCCAGCTTTCCTAGCAAGTTCTGCAGGGTTTGGAAGACTCTGCGGTAGGGAACCCCACTTGAGAAGTTCCAGCCTGATGTTGTATATCTCTGACTGCTACAAGTGCTAGTTCAAGTGTCTGATGCTCCTAGTAAGTGGGGATGGGAACACCAGACCAGATTATAAGAAAGAATCTCCCAATGGGAAAATCTTCTACTGTTAAAATTCACTTAATTGTAAAAATGTCAAGTTGTATGTGATTTTCTTCAGGAGAGCATTCCTTATAAAAATAAGACACTTATATTTTTGTGAAACAAAATCTTTCAGACTTAAAAAGTTTTCAGCTCTTCCATGGAAAACGAGAAGTAATCATAATCACTTGTCTCTTTAAGGAATCCACAAAAATTGAATATTTTTTAAAAGTCAGGCTATGTGTGTATTTGATGATCTGGAATTTCCATTTCATTTTTTAAGCAAATAACAGTTGACACATAAGCAGAGTTTGCTTGGTATTTTTTTCAACACAACTAAGCAGTCCAGAATCATCTCAGGTACTTTCTATACAGAACTAAATATGTTCATTTTATACATGAGCATGCAGAGGTCACAAGTCAAATGCCCAAGGTTATAGAAGCGGAACAAGTATAATTCATAGCCAAAATAAATTCATATATTATCCCAAGTAAATATCCACAATTTGACAGGAACTTTATTAAACATTGAGGCATGTCTGTGTAAAAAAAAATGATGCAGATAAGAAAGCATTTGTTTTCTTCCCAACATCTCTCATCCCTCCTCCTAGCTCCTAGCTAGAGATAAGCAGCACTGCCTCTCAGTTTAATGAGAATTTCTCAGGTCAAAGCCAGTAACTAAGAAACAATTCCTTGGCAATCACCAGAAACGTGAATTTACTTTTTTTTCTGTTTTGACTTGTTGTGTTTTTTTACATAAACGTGCTTTCACAGGGCAATAAACTGCTTGGAGAAAAAGTAAAAGCAAACCAGCTGGCATGTAATTCCAGCTAAAGATAGTTTCCACCACTCAGTGCAATTAAGCCAATGAGGACTTTAAACCGAGGTTATCTACAGCAAAGATGATTTGCGTGCTGCTAGTCAGGAATTAAACATTTCATGATTGCTGTTTTGCAGACAAGCAAAGAAGGAGAAGCAGACCATGCCGTGAGAGCACAATCGGTCAGGAGCAGGCTAGAGCAGCCTCCCGCCTCCCTCACCTGGACTGGTGAGTTACGCGCTGGGAGCAGGTTAGCCCACTCCTGAGGAAACACCAGAAGGCCCACCCTCCTCACCGCGCTCCCGAAACACATTTCTTGTGTAAGGTAAAAATCCATTTTAAATTGCCTTTTGCCATCAAGACACACTGGCTGTGAGTTTGACAAGTAACATTTTTAGAAATTTTACGGAGCAATGATGACGCATACTGACCAAATAAACACTGGCATCATTTTCAGGAGGGCCTGTTAATCTCAAGCTCAGAATCCCAAGGTACCTAAGGTTGTTGGAATAAGAGAGAACATTTTCCAAAAAGGCTGATTTCCCGTACATAGAGTGTGGTCAAGGTGGCTGTTTAGGGATTTAGAAGTAGAATGACCAACGGCAGATTTGAATCTTAGGAGTGTTGTTAGGAATTTAAAGGAGGAAATGAAGCAAACAGCACCGAGTACACTGGACCTGTGGAGTTCCTCCCTGATGGAGCAGAGATTGTACTGGTGGCCAGGCCCGGCCACGTGTCCTGTTCATCTTGCCTCTGCGCGTCAGGCCGGATTCAGCATCCACAGCCCCAAAGGACTTGTTCCTGTGTGAAAGACAGAGGTCAAAGATGACCTAGGGTTTTTAGTCCGGTGACTGGGAGAAGTGGAGTGCAGTAAATATGTACATTTAATATCAGGAAGAAGGGCTGATTTGGAGAAAAGAGGATTGAGTTTTAGATATGTTTGATTGAACGCGCTATTTTTCTTTGGTACCGGGGATTGAACTTGGGTCCTTGCACTTGTGCAGCAGGTGGCGAAACCACTGAGCTAACTCTCCGGCCTGAATGCGCTATTTCATTTTACAGTTTTGCAATCAGTGAAGTGCACGGGTAGAGTTCAGAAAGATTCCTTAGATGAAGGCACAAAATGCAGAAATACTTCCTCCTACAGAAAATGTAGAGAAAGGAGAGGCAGCCAAGAGGTCCCATAATGAGGCAGCAGAGGCCAGGGACTTGGAATTAGGGCAGAAAAGAGGAGAAAGGAAGAACCAAGTAGGGCACAAAAAGTAGGAGTAGTATGCTTAACAGAAACGCAAATGCACGCTTCCGAGAGGTGTTATCAAATTGGTGTGCAGTTATGTTTTAGGTAACTTAGCCAGAACTTGATACTCATAAAGCTGAATTGGGGGAGAATGAACTTCTACTTGCTGCCGTATAATACACTTTACCACAGTTGGTTTAAAAAGCTGTTTTCCTACTTGGCTTCTTCAAGGTTCTTTGGAATGCAATTAGTCAGGGTCCACTTTAAACTAAAACAGACAAATAGATCAGGAAAAAATTACTACTCAATATGAACAAGTTTATAACCCCCTAGTTTTATCAAGAGGAGAACATCAGATAAATCTGAACTGAGGGATGTTTCTACAAAATACCAGGCAAGTAAGCAATGTTCAGAACAGCTAAGGTCATAAAGATGGACAAATTTGGAGAAACTGACACCTCCATGAAGAATCTAAGGAGCTAAAAGGTCAGGCGGTATCTTAGAAGAGACACTGGAGCAGAAAAGGGGCCCTGGACAAAATGACGGATGAAATCTGAATAAAGCATGGACTTAGTTAATATACTCTATCAATGCAGGTTCATTAATAGTGAGAAATGCACCATACCAAGGGAAGCTGTTAATACCTGGGGACACAGGGTGGGGAGAAACTCTATCATCTGCTCAATTTTTCTATAAACAAAAATAGTTCTAAAAAATAAAAGGATTTAATTCAAAGACTTAATTTTCAAAGATATGGATCACATCCAAAAATGTTAAATACCTATTAAAATTTAACAAGTTACAAATTTTTATATACATTCTCATGTAATCTTATAAAAGATATTCAAAAACAAAATACATATGAAAGTATACCATGAGCAACGAATCCAGAGTCTCATTGTTCCAGGGATAACAATTTTGCTCCAATTGACAGGACTTTGGAATCAATGCCAGTCAACATCCCAAAGGATAATTTCTGTGAAATTTGAAAGGTTAAATATATATATATGGAATTACAAAGACCTCAAAGTAGGCAAGACAATCTTGTTTATCAACAGATGAATGGATAAAGAAAATATGCTACTCTGCTAGAAAGAAAGAAAAGCTAATTCATTTGTAGGAAAATAGATGCACTTTGGGAACACAATATTAAATGAAATAAATCAGATGCACAAGCTTAAATGCAGCATAGTTTCTCTTATATGAGAGCAAAATCAAAGATAGGAAATAAGAAGCAGGGAGATAGACCTTTCTCAAAGAGCAAGGGGATAAAGGGATGGAGGAAGGCAGGGAAAGGGGGTGAAAAAGGAACGAAGATGAGTTCTGTTCATGCACAACTCCACACGAGGAAGGTAAATGTTATGGACTGCAAACATGCACTGGTACAAATTTAAAACGCTGGAAGCGTTACCTTTGTAAATGTCAGGAAGTGTTATAAAGTTGTAGTGATTACAGGAATCTGATACTGGTGCTGGAACAGCCTGATCAAACAGCTCAGTCCTGCGTGCCCCACAACACCAAAGCCCACCCATGTGAGACCCAACTGACAACACAAGTGGACTTACGGGCGAGTGGAGGAAGGATGCAGCTTTTAGCAACTGGTGCTGGGGTTGTTGTTTGTTGTCAGGAAAATACAAAATGGAACTCTTACATCACTTACAGAAAAGAGATGTATAAGACTTATAGGTGAGATATAAGCTCCACAATTTTGAAGATAACATATAATCGTGTCTCTCTTGCCAGGGAAAAGTATCTTAAGACGCAACAAGTTATATCCATGAAGGAAATGGCTGATAGAACCTTAGGAATCAAACCATACCACAGAGAAACTAGAACGGAAGTTCCAAACTAGGACTTAGTGTCCAAGATCTATTAACAAGTCTTGCAATTCTGTTAAAATCTCAGATGACCTAGTAGAGAAAGCCATGAAAGGGCACATCACCAAAGAGCCATACCTGGCAATCATGCATGAAAAGTCAATATGACTTGATACTCATTCTCAAAATTAATCAGGAAAATGAAAATTGTCATGAAATACATTTTCATACCCACAAAATTGGCAACTTTGAATGTCTGCTAATATGTGATGTGGATGAAATTTTTATGAACTGGTCATGAGATTGCCAATTGCACCAAGATCTGGAAAACAAATTGATATTTTCTAACAAAGTGGAACCTGTAACCCAATAATTTAACAAGTGGTGTTCCCTCTAGGAGCCATAGCAGTTGTGTGCTTGAACAAAGATGCTCATAATGGGACTGAATAGCCTGAGACCTCCTGAATGTGCAAATGCATGGGAAGAGTAAACTGTAGTACATTTATCTACTGCTGACACTAGACAGTGGGAACAATGGTGCATTGTACCCTCAAGCAACAATAAGAATGAGTTTCCCAAACATAATTACAATAAAGTTAAAAGGCAAAGCATAAACAATGGCACACAATGTTATTCCTATTTAGAACTACGCAAAAACTTAAGAATATGCTGTCTTGGCATAGAACGATATATAGAGAAAGTCACAAAACCCAGCAGAGGAATGTTAAACATAAAATGTATGATTTAGTCTCCTCTGAGCAGAGAAAAAGGGAAGCAGAGCTCAGAACTTTGTGTGAGATTTCAAGGGGAATGATAATCATTTTCTAAAACTGAATGTTGGACAAAGTATGCAGTTGAGTCATCCTTCCCTACACTTACACAGACTTCATATTTTTGAAGTTTACTCCATATTTAGAAATGTAATTTTAAAACACAATAATTAATTATATGCGATAGCTGGGAAATAGAATCTGGTTATTCTGCATAATGTGTACAAAATATCTCAAAACAAATGTAATAGAATGGATTATTTCGCTAGTCATTTGTGTCTATTTTTTGACAACATGACAGGAACAGGGAAAAAAACCCTACATACAACCTTAGCTATTCAAAAATCTAAATCACTACTGCTCTATTTTTTTGACTCTTGAGGTTGGTAGAAGAGATGAGAGTTTGATTAGGAATGGCAGGAGCTTAGAGGAAGGTTGCATTTTAATGGGCATCTGTTTCAGTGTTGTTACATCAATAGTATACATGTCCCTTGATCAACTGGAATACTCAGTGGGTCAATGTTCTGCTTAATGATCATTTTGCTAGTTAAGTAAGACGAAGTTTCAATTAGAACATCCTCTCTGCTTGTAATAGAAATCTAAAGATGACAGAAGAGATTGACACTAGAAGTTTAAGGTCACCAACGAGAGTCAGTAAGAGGTGGTCCAGCCTCTCTTATTCACAGAACAGTGCGTTGGAGCTAAAGTACCTCTGAGAAGTTCTATTTCTACTCTTCATCCTGCATTGGTGACAGTAAACCTGAATCACCTAATAAGGAACAAAGATGCTACTATCGAAATCCACTTATTTCTTATGTGGCATGATTATCAATCTAACAGCAAAGCTCAGAGCACACTGTGAAGTCTCCACTATGGTACAGCTACTCCTCTGTCTCTTCCCTCCAAGAGCAGAAAAATGCACTGAGGGGTACACTTTAGAAGGCATTTGGCCATGGCAAAAAATAAAAGGATTGCTTGCTTTATCCAAGATTAATGGCACTTGCTAGGACCAGTAAATGACAGAATAGCAATGGTTTCCCACAGGCAACTGCAATTCCAATTCAGCATGAGAGTAAATAATTACCATTGTAAACACATCGTTCTGTAAAGGCCTATTATGCTGTTGTGCTAAAGGCACTTGGAGCTGAATTCTGAATCATATAAATGTTTCCAAGTGTTTATTAGCATCAGTGAAGTGCTGAACTGAGAAATATCAATAGGCAGAAATTAATAAAGATCAGAATCAAGTTTAGCTGCTACTTTAATGTTTGTTTCTTCAGATATCAAAAACCTCGAAGGTGTCATGTGGCCCGTTGCCATGCGTGAGGACTCAGTGATGATGTTCGAGCCGAAAGTACTGAGCGGGCTAGGACGCGGTGGCCCTGGACATTGCACCAGAAAATAAGTGACTGCTCGTGTCTTAGGAGTGTTGTATCATCGAATGAGTGAGCATATTTGTAGGACCTAATGATCCATGTCAATGTCATTTGAAAATTCCACAAAGTTGAAACTTGAAGGAAATATGTGGAGTTTCTTAGAGAAATATGGAAAACTAAGCATTCCTATCATGTGCCTGTTGTTATTTAAACCAATACACTTGCTGTTGTTGCAAGTAATATATTCATTAGCATCACTTCAATTTATGACAGAATATTTCAAAAGAAACATATAACTTACTCAGAACCTGGGCCAATAACAACTAAGATAAAAGCCATCTAGTTGGGCCTGGGATTTAGCTCAGTGGTTTTGACGCCTGCTATGCAAGCGCAAGGACCCGAGTTCAATCCCCAGTACCAAAAAAAACAACAACAACCAAAAAGCAAACTAGTTAATCCTCATAGACACCTACCATGTTGAAATCACAGGAACTCATACATTATTAACCCTTTCAGGTAATTCCTCTTGGACAATCCACTTCTTTTAAATAATAGAGGAAATTCTCTATTTCTGGAACTTACACTAGAGTAAAGGTTAAAAGGTTGAAAATCTGATCTGCTATGTTACTTTATGACAGAGGCATGACTCAGTCTTTGGGAAAGTAAAAAGAATTAGTTAATTAATTTAAAAACCAGCTGTCCATCTGCCTCACCAATATCTACAATCTTAAAAGCTCCAATTCTCAGCTTTTAATCAGTTTTATATAAGACCTAGAAATCTACATTCTCTAAAAAAAAAATCTCCACTGATGATGCTGATCTAAAAATAGGATTAAAGTTAGTAAGCCTAATAAGCCACATGATGCCAAAGGTCTTTTTTAGCTCTATGAGTCAAAAAATATGTATGCTTGTTGAAGCTACAATTCAGAGCACACTCGCCTTAGAATTGTAGAGGACTGGCTGCAGTTACATTAGCTTTGTCAGTGAAACCATGCTGAAGAGAATGTCTACAAACGTAGGGGACTTCGATTATAGCAGCGTCACTTTCGCTGCACACGTGGCTCCATTAACAGATGCACTTAGGGGATGGAAAATGTGATCCCAGGTGATCTAAAGGCCTTAACCACCTTCTACAGATTTCTTAAAGAAGCAGCTCCACTTCCTAAGAGCAAATTCCATTTTACTGAGGAATGATATATAGGGATGCATGTTTTCTACAACTTAAAATGCTCAGAGATCATCTAGCTTTTATTACATTGTCTCTACCCCTCTTTCCCTTCCCCTGTCCATGTGAATTAGCAGCAAGACATACATTCAGACTGTTAAACTGATTTTTTATGTGGAACTGGTCAGCCCAAATAAACTCGGAACATCGGAAACTGTTTCAGACAGAAATTAAAAATAACTCATTAATATGCCCTTCTCGGGGGTGGTATTGATGGGAATTAGGCCGTTGGTCCAATTGTCTATGGAAACTATTCCTAGTTGTTTTACCAGGATCCATTTTCCTATTCACAGTGGCCAGAAAATTTTGATCAAATCCTTCTAAAGGAGTCTTAAATCATTCACACTCATTTAATAGGGAAGTCAAAACATAACTATCACATCACCACGATCCTGGCCAGTCTGCCAGGACTGTCCCTGCCAACCTGCCTTGGGAGTGGATTTGAGATGCGGATCACATGTGCCGAGCTGTGAGCCCACGTTCAAGTCTTGCCAGCACCTGGCAGGCAGCGGCCTCCACAGAGATAATTAAAGGCAACAGAAATGCAGTGGAAACATCAGGGCCACTCGGCCTTGCTGCTTGTTACATAAGGGAGCAGCATAGTGGAGTGGCTGTGCCAGAACTCTGCTTTTTCTTCAAGCAAATAAAACGTTGGCTGAGGAGATTGTTAAAGCAAGAAGGCAGCAAGGTCTGCAACCGTAAATCCAGTAAGACTCTGCTTTGAAAATTGTCCTTGCTGATTTTCGCGTCCTGCTCCTGAGAATCTTAATTATATTTTTACATTGAATTGCAGCTGTATTTATACCCCGCAGCTCTCCGTGGTGTGTGCAGGAGATGAACAGGGTGTGACAGGGACTTCCCCGGCACCTCGCGGGTGCCTGGGAAGCCCCAGGAGAGAGTTGGGAGCAAAGCCTGTGTGGGACTCACTCCCTGGAGAGACTCGGGCGGGCCAGAAAGAAGCTCTGGAAACTCTTTTGCTTTAACAACAAAAAAGGTTCACTTGGCCAATTGATATTTTTTAAAATGACAAAAACTATCAGAGAAGATTAGCAGAAAGGTAAGTTGAAAATAAAAGAAACAGAAAAGAAGCCAGAAGAGGAGGGAGCAGATCCGCAGGCGGAGTGGAGAATGGACCAGGGATGGTCACAGCTTGAGGTCAAGTTTACTCTCGCAGGATGGCTATGAGGGACTCTTCGGAAAGACTGGTGGGACTGGAGGGACTTTAAGATTCGGCGTATCTGGTGCACAAACAGTGTTCTCTAGTTTCGGTCTTGGGAAACATAAGTAGATGGTGGTGTAACTGACCAGGAGAAAAAGCATGCAACGTGGGAGGAGCAGAAGAGGAGGAGGACATTTTGACAGATGACGGGTCTGTGTTTGAGGTGCTCACATATGGGTTAGAGACAGGCGACGGCACAAGTGATGTGGGAGAGTGGATGGAGTCACCAGCACCTCTACTGAGAGAGAGAGGGACGTGAAGGGCCTGCTACCCTTGACAGCAGGAATTGTCAGCCATGACAACTGGACACCAGTTAAAAATGCATCAATTCAATGGTGAGGGGAAACATTGAAATCCAGAGTCACAGAGTAAATTGTAAGTGAAGAATTAGGGAACCATGGAAACTATTCTTTCAAAACATTGGTTGAAGGGGAAGAAAAATGAGAAAATGTAGGCTCAAACAGCATTTTGGCACAGGCATCTTACGAATCTTATAGGCTGGAGGGAAATAGTAAAGCAGTGTGGTATGTATTAGGTCAGAAGAGAAAAATGTGAAACATGAGGCAACATCTAAGATGCGGCAAGAAAGAAGGGCATCGAAGATCTGAAGACTACATTGAGTTTAGACAGGAGGACAGACCCCCTTCAGTGTAGTACAGCTGGAAAAGACAGGAAAGGAAAGAGACACCTGGAAACTTTTGCAGTGAAGGAAAAGGAGAAAGTCTTAAATTTTACAGTGACTGAGATTGTTTTTAAATAAAATTTTGATTTCCCCTATTAAAATAATAGATATCTATAGTAAAAATTTTTAAAACCAAAACATCTTTTTTAAAAAAACAGCACTCTTGCTAGTTGTGATGGAACACATCTGTCACACCAGTTATTCAGGAGGCTGAGACAGGAAGATTGTGAGTTCGAGGCCAGCCTAAGCAGTGTAGTCAAGCCTTATCTCAAAACAAAATAATGCAAAGAGCTCGGAATGTAGCTGAGCAATGAGCACTAACCTCCAAGCCTGAGCACCACTGCCAGTACCAAAGAACAGAGCAAAAATAAAACAAAACGCAAACTGCAGCATTGGATAGATCTGAATGCAGCTGTCTCTTCCCCTCTCTTTTACAGGTTGGGCCCACATGGAGCTCTTCAGTCTTCCCCACACTAGGAAGTCCACGGGTGTTGTGTGTCAACCACACTTTCAGTTTCAGCACGGTCACTTCTTGCCTGCTTCAATTGTGAGCTGCTGACTCCAACCCTGTCCGGTGTTTTCCATGGAATCATCATCTGCACCACTGATTTTTTATTTTACATTTCCAAGCATTTTCTCAAAATCCCTCATTTCTCTCACTAGATTTATGTTACACAAAAGCACGAACCATGTTCCACTTATCTGTAGAGTTGCACAAAACATACACCGGGCTTCAGACACTGCAGCCTGCTCTGTCCAGCAGGCTAGCGCAAGAAGATGGGGTGTCCCCATCTGGTATGACAGTCACAGGCCATTATGCAGCTCAAGAAGTGAATTTCAACATAAATTAAAACAAAGATAGAGATCACTGTGTTGAATAGTGCAATTATAAATTGTACGCGATGAGCATTTCTTTGAGGGGTGGCCTTTGGGTGACTTTTATATTCTTTTGTTACCTTTTTAAAAATATTGTTAATGCTCACAGTAAATTAGAGGGAGCAAATTGCTATAGAGATGGCAAAAAGTAAGAAAGACAAAAGTTAAATCTGATAAAGAAACACAAAATAGTTTCAATCTTAATTAATGTCTGGTCAAACACTCCAAGGAGTGGATGAATGCCAGGGTCCTTGCCTGCCCAAGTTCAATCAAACTCACTTTTTATCACAGTTCCAGCACACATACTTTATTATCTTGAAGTCAGAGACCAAAGCAAAACAACCAAAGCCAGATTAAAAAAAAAAAAAAAAAACTTCTAAATTTTAACACCGTTCTCAAGAACATCTAAGAGGTGAACTCTCTTCTATGTCAAAGGCCATGATCTTCACTCTCAATGCAATGCCCAGATTGTATTCATCACACTCTGGACACATGCACTCATGCGTGTGTATTCATTTTGCTAAAAAATATGTAAAACTTTGGACAAATACCACCTGTTCTCACTCATTTATGGAAACAAATCTCGTAGAAAAATAGAATAGAATAATGGTCAGTACAGATGAGGAAGGTCCACCGGAAGAAGGGGCAGAAGAGACAGAAAGAAGTTCAATGAGGCACCAGCATGCCGAGTGAAGACCTTCTTCTGGCTGGTCTTTAACACAGGAGTGTGGCTATTGGTTAAAACAATCTCAAAATCTCACAATCTCAAAAAAAAAGAGTACACAGCTCCAAATGCATAAAAACAATTAATGATTGAAAGGATGGAAATGCTTCTTACCCAGACTCATTGCATACATGTATTGAATGACTATACTACATCCTATGAAAGCGCAAATATTATGTCTCTATAAAGAAAATGCCCACATTTAAAGAACACTTATACAAAGTCACTGAAGTATTGTTTGTGATAGAAAAAATATTAGAAACATCCTAGATGTCCATCAAAATTGATAATATAATACAAATTACAATAGCAAAACACATAATCAAATCCTTACAGCACTTAAAAAGATAAATCCTCAAATAATTAAAAAACATGACCCCAAATGACTTGTGACCTAATGATTTTGGATAGACAAAATGATAGCATATTAATAAGTCAGTACAGATTTCATAACATATTCCAATGGCAAAAAGCTCTTATATGGTATGCATTAAATTCTTTTTAATGTATCATTTTATAAAAAGAAACATAATACATTTAATGTTTAGATAAAAACAAAATCAGTGGATTGCAGAGATATTAAGAGTTCCCCATCACCTCAAAGAATAAACTCATAAAATTTATCTTTACCTTTTCGTTTGTTGTAAATGTACAGTACATTCCTGTTGTGTTCCAAACTCCTCTACAGTTTCTTCAGCTGTTTAGCTCCCAAATGACAGATTAGAAACCTGTGCATCTGTTTTATATTTCCAAAGTGCTCGTAATCTTTAGTAAAGAAACACATTGAAGCCGTGATTGTCAGTGTAACCTAGGACAGAGATGGGATGGTTTTAAGAAGCGACACCCATGGCCACGGAAGGAGAATGTACTCCCTCCCAACCTCTATAAATAAACTATGGCTTCTTAAAAGACCCATGAAATAAATTTTATTTGTTATTATTAATTATCTAATTTCTTAAAGCTTACATTCATTAGCAACAATACCTGTTTAGTGATGTAAGCATTTTTCAAACATTATCTTACAGTAACACTTTGTAGTAGGATTCTTATTTGCCTTCAGTGGTCTCTCTTTTTACTTTCATTCCACATTCTCCTTCTAAATTATAATTGTGTATTCTATTCTGGACAGAGTATTCTCATTCCCCCAAATGTGGCCAGTAAACAAAAGCATGTAAGAGTATAAATAAGAGGGAATCTCAGATCTGTTTCTTCTGTGGGTTTTAAAGTTATCTTTGGCTTTACCAAACTATGGGGTATTATGGTTGTTCTTGTCTCAGCTACACACAGACCTTAATTTAGATAATCATAGGATGAAACCCATAGTGACCTACTGATTCAAACCCAATTCTGATGCCCTTGCATGGAGACAAGGGAGGAAGAGACACTGCATTTAACATCCAATCAGTTGTCAGGGAAGTGAATTCTGTTATTCCTGCTGTCAGTGTAAACATAAATGGAGAGACGCAAATGAAAAGAAAAACAACAAAAATTCCTGCTCTTTGTGTGTTTCATCAAGCACAAACGTGCTTTATAGGGTGAAATCCTTTTACTAAATTCATGGATATAATCAGGGATGAATGACAACATATTTTTTGGATTTAACATTCTTTATCCCAACTCAACAGATTTGATTCATTTCATATTTACTGAATGTCAAACCTTTAGATAAAAGGCTTGTGAAAATGATTTTCTATAATACTATGTTCGTTCCACAATGGGCCTCATTCTTGCTGCAATGATAAAGAACAAAAGAAAATGGCAGAAGGATGTAAGAATCATATTCTTGAGACAACATTTTTCAAATGGAAAAACCCCTGGGTGGCTGCCCACACTACCAGAAAAGGCCACATTCCCAACCTGCACAGTAATGGAGAACAAACAAGTCTCGTAAATGCAGAATTTACAAAGTCTTTATCATTGCAGCTACTGTACGTCAAGCAAACTTTAAGTAAAGAACTGGAATATTGAAGCACTAGGTATAATTCTAAATAAGTCAATGATCACAGGGGCAAAAACTAACCTTTATCTTTCCATGAAAGAGCTTTTCTGGCTTGCTAGTTACCTGTGGGTAATCTTACACTGAGGCATTAGCAATCACCAAGTGCTCATAGTGGAACTTGGGAAATACATACATGTGACTCCAAAGAAACATGACTGTGGTATTCAGCGCAGCAGTGAGGACTGTAGCTGCTCTGAAATACAGACGCACGGTGGGCAGAGTAAGCCCCTGTGGGAACACCCTTCTGGGGTGCGCCTGTTTCTCTGCTGCTTTGAGGGTGACTGTTGGAACTTCATAACTCCCCCTTTCTTGGAAAATTGCCTTCCAGCAAACTGACTGGACCAGTTCACCAAAGTCTGTTCCCTCACTTCAGTCAATGCCTGTCAGTCTCTGAGGTCAATGGACAGGGTTGCGCCCCATCACAGGGATCAGCAGGGATGCTCAGGGGCAAGCGGGGTGCTGCAGGTCGCCTGAGATCACCTTACAAACCAACCACATTTCTAAATCTCTGGTTTCCATTCTGCTTCCAGGGAGCTCTCCCCTGAGATATATAGGAAACAATAAAACTTTAATCTGGATTGTTTTTTAAATTACAAATCAGAAGAGACGGTGTTAAGGACAAATGCGGAAAGAGAATTCCATTACCAAGGTTTTTGAATGAAGCCAAAACACTGAGTATGAACTACAACTTCAATTCCATTCTCATGGTCTATATATTTAAGAATCTGTTTCTTTATCTTTAAAATGGAAATGGCATTCTACATTCCCATGTATAGTAGACTGTTTTATTTGATGTCTAATGTCTAATAATGGACAAGTGGAAAGTTGTGATTTTCATGCCTTTTCTAACTCTGTTCTTTCTAACAGAAAAAAATAATAATAAAAAGCTCTAATAAGGTCCTTCAACTTGTCAAGATTGTTTTCCTTTTCTTCCCAGCATTAAAATCAAGGAAGGATTTTTTTAAATGAATGAATCTCAAAAATATAAGTGCTAGGTACTTTGTATCCAGTAATTTTTACTTAAGGTACTTTGTGATCCAGATTTCCAGGAAGGTTCAGTCTGTGTCCAGGTCAAATGTATCTAATGGGGTCGTGGCTGTCAGAATCACCTGTGGACCCTCGGTGTCCTTTTCAGTGACAGGCACAAGGACAGGACATGGTGGGTATCAGTGGGCAGTTCTGAGCAAGTCAGCAAACCATGTAGGAGTGGTGTGTAGGCTCTGACTGACATTGGCAGAAGCTGCTGTCTTCTGGCAGTCTCTTAATAGCTAGGTGAATTTGAAGTCTGCTTTCTTGAAATCTCATGTTTTTAATATTTCAAATCTATAGAATAGTATTTATATCAAAGGCCATAGGGAAATCTACTGAAACAATGCACTCAGCAAAGTTAGTACCAGGTCAATGGTCCCTAGTTGATAGAAATAGTAGGATTCCAGTCTAAAATTCAAACTCCATACCACCACAAATAGTGGCTCATCAGAAGCCAATTTCCCTTGTTGTAAAGATACACAGGGAGATTTTTATAAGAATTCTCAAAGTACCACCTGCAGTAAACTAATAGCTGGAGAAAGGATAGGCTTCCACTTGCACTAATATTATTTGTCTGCCTACTAAAGACACATAACAAGATTAAATAGTAAGAAAAGAATCAGGCTTAAGCAAAGGATTTGGTTGAAATACAGATGCTAAGGTTGACCAGTATGGAAGTAAATACGTCAGTTTTGCTCATTATTCTTTGCACAGATATTTCACTGTGCTAGTAACATGCTTTTCTCAGCAAAACTTTCATTCATGTCCTCCACTCAAATGAAAAATAGTAATTATTACAAAGCACTGTGCAAGTCCTTGCATAAGTTTGCAGAGTTGAATTTACTCCTTGGATATAGAAGCCAGCCATCCGTGTCTTAAAGTATAATGTGTGTAACAAGTTACAATGTGACAATGGTAAAACAATAAAATAAAAGCTAAAAATCACAGTGAACTATAAATTAACACAATAGACTAACCAGGAAAAAAGAAAAACGAAAAAGCAAATAGGCCATTGAAAATAGAAACTTTTGCTACCATTGCACAAGAAGATAACTTTGGACATTGTCCATAAACTTTTCTGCCTGTACATAAATGGACATGACAACTTTGTCCCTTTGAGTTTCTTAATTTTGTCTCCCACAGATAATCCAAAAGCTGTATTCATACTCATCTGCTTAACAACATACATAAAGATCTTCGTTTCGACGTTTTAACATCATAATCTAGTAAAGTGGAGATTTTTTAAGATGAATAAATTTTCTGTAGCTAATGTCAAACCACTGTTAAATAACTCTTTATTCAATCTTCTTTATAAAAGAATAATTTCCCTTTAGATATTCTTTTGCAGAAAATATCTTAGTATTCTGATGAACTAATGCTGCATATTCTCTTTTAGCTAAGAGCTTACCGTGTAATTCATCCTACCCAAAAAGTGTTATAATAAATGCAAAAAGAACTCTGGATTCCATAGTGAGACAGGCTGGTGTTTCTGTTCCAATAGCCATGGAGCTCTCTCAGCGTCACTGTCCTCAGAACCCAACCGGGTGTCCGCCCTTAGGTGTCACAGTCGGCGAACCGTCCTCTGTGGCTGATCCGGAGAGCACAGAGAGGATAAATATGAAATCCAAAAAGGGTATTTGAAGTTCAAACTTCTAGGTGTAGAAAACAGGCTGATGAAATTGCTCACTACAGCCACGGGATATGCTTCTGTCGTGAGAGAAGATCATGAGCCTTTCTATAGAGCAACAGTGGTTTGAATGGAGAGACATCTTTCGATTTTAAAGATATACAAGTGATTTTTTTTATGGTTATTTACTTGCTTTCCAGTGCAGGCATTTACCCTTGGAATACATCTGCAAAGTCATTCTTGTCTGAGTCATGCAGCAATAGTGATGTATTTCAAGACATTTATAACAGTCATATTAAAATTTAAAATGCTCCTTTTAGTTCAAGTGACACAAGGAGCCAACATTACCCACAAGACAGTGAAAACTAACAGATTGCTGCCACTTGGCCCAGTATTTTTCTATTTGTTCCTCTCACTTTGCTAAAAAAAAAAAAACCAAAAAAGCATAATAATAATAATAAAATAGAAATTTCGTTAGAGCAGCAGAACTCTCATTTCAGGGGAAGATGACATACAGTCAACTTTATGTTGTGTTCTCTTCACCCACGCAGGTAACAGCCACGGGAGCTGGGAGGATACTGAAAAGGCTAAGCTGTGCGGATTTCTCCCAGAAGGCCTCGAGGGGAACACCCAGTAATTAAACAGAGCAATCCGGGAACTTGGAGTCTTCCATGTGGCTCCTGGTGGCTCCACCCTCTTCCAAAGCCAACGCCCACCAAGCCTGACTCTGTATCAATTTCAGTAGCATTCTTTCTTCACCGAAGAAAAGCAAAGAGACACAGAACGCTGAGTAAATTTGTGGGCGATCTGTTTGCTGTTCTAAAGAGAAAGTAAATATTTGTGGCATTTATGAAGCCGGCTACAGAATCCTGTAACTGAAGAATGAAGCTCTCCGTGGCATTTTTTTTTCTGCATAAACAGCTGGCTCTGGGATGGAAGTTTGGCTGAAACGTTTTTACCTTCTTAGATACCGTGTTTACTTTGAGCGAAGCGAGGAGTCTGCGCAGCCTGGAGATGACATCTGTTTCCGCAGCTTGGAAGGCTTCTACTCCAGCTGCTGCCCGGAAAAGGAGGCGGGCACTTCTTCAGGGCAGTGGAAAAACACAGCTTTGAAAATTCCGTGACATAAAGGCTCCCTACATAAGAGTAGTGAATAGAAGAATGAACCAAGTGATTTACTCACAGTTGTTATCTATAACATTATTAGCACTATCACTTTTCATTTTCTCAGTCTGCATAAATAAAATCCGAGTCTAAGTGTAATAGCGGCGCGTGCATTTTGCATGTGTCCGCTAACTGGCTTGCAATCACTTCATAAACGGTTGCCTGCCGTCTTCTCTTCCTCTACTCTTCTTTTGGGGCTGCATTTTTAGCACTTCAATTTTCTGTACTTGTTCTCAACACCTACATTGCAGCACGGGGCCTCCGCTCCTGCCTGCTGTGCCCCAGTAGTTCCGGAGTGTTTTGGTCCCTGAGATGTGTCTCTCTAAAGCACAGCTCCATGGAACAACTGCATCTGATAAATCAGTGGGTGTGATCTACCCAGGCCGGATGCGAAGAGCCGAGTACATCTGCCACTATGGCAGGGTTCCAGCTAGAGGATGAGGCCACCAGACCTAGGTTTTAGAAAGACTAAGTTGGCAGGCATCTGAAGAGGGTGTCCGGGCAGTCACCTCGGTGGGAAGCGCCTGAAACACGGCCTTGAGGCTGGTGTGGGCCAGAGCTAGACGCAGCCAGACACACACGGGCGGCATCGTTAATTCAGAAGAGCAGTGTCTTATCCTAACTGTATATATGTGTGCAAAATTATCTGCATGAGGATGACTGAATAAGACTAGGGATAGCCTCTACTCATGCAATACCCAAAGGGTTAAGAAAAGAAAAATTGAGAAAAATTCAGAGTCTAGTTTAGTTTTATGTCTGTGAGGATTCAACTCTGCCCATTTTTCCAATGACAAAAGTTTGTTTTTAAAAATTCATTTATTGACAGGGAAATTTAAGCTCAGAAATAGAACTTTTGTCCATATTCTAATTTACTTATGTTTTCCTCAGTTGAGCCTACAATCCACTGATTTCTCAATTTCAGTAATTTTTCAGTTTTTAAATCTTCAATTTCCACTTGATTTGTTTTCATGGAATCAAAGTTATGCCAAGTGGATCAGTATTGACTTTAATTACCTAACAAAATTATTTTATACATTTATTTCTTCTATCTCTAGAATTTCAGTAACAGAATCATAGTTGATCTGTTTCTATCTACTACTGTTTCTGTTTTGTTTTTATGTTTATTTGTTTGTTCATTTGTTTTGGTTTTTGAGCAAGTATTTTATACATACTTTATACATACTTATTTTTTACTAAAGCTAAAAAAAATTTACTTCATACATGTGGAAGCCATATAAGGGCAGGAAAAGAAGAAACATACAAAACATGTTTGGATTTTTTGTTTTGAGGTATTTTTATATAAATGGGATATTTTGGGACAGAAAATAAGTCTGAACACAAAATCCATTTATGTCTCACATTCACCTTCTAGCCATGGCCTTAAACTCAGTGATGTCATACAGCTTGGTTTTGTTTTTTGTTTTGTTTTGTTTTGTGTGTCCGCCTGTACTGTGAGGTCAGGTGTGTAATTTTATGTAAACAGTATTGGTATCCTGTCAGTGCTTTAAAACTTTCAGATTTTGGAGTAGTTTGGATTGGGATTTTCCTATTAAAGATGTTCAGCCAGTATTTGTATTTTTCTTCATTTTATATCTACCGGAACATATATTTATTTATTTCTCCTCCACAATTCATTCCAGCTATTCTCATTTCCAAGAGGGGAAAGACGGCCTGGCAGACAAATGAGAACGAGAGGTCCTCGCTAGAGGTGAGAGTGGTTACTTACGATTCGGGTCTAAGAAATAAAACCACAGCGTGAGGACTGGAATGATACGCGGTTGGGGTTGCTATCGTGTTCAAACTCGGCTTTAAGAGTGAACGCACTACAGTGCACACCTGACCCACGCCTGCCTGCCAAACACCACGATTTATGATCCCCTTGTTCCAAATGTTGACAATAGAAGTGCGTTTTGTCTATTTCTTCGCGCATTGTTTCCACAGAGCTAAGGATACAGGAAATACAGTGCTCCATGGTAACGAGGAAGGGGCCCATCAAAAAGAACAGGAAATTAAAACGTAAAACAGCTGGGGTTTACTAGGCAGGAGGGAAGCAGTGCTCGCAGGGACCAGCGCCCTGGGCTCGGCCGAGCTTCCTCTCGAGGACACTTGCGAGAAGAGGAAACGAACGCGTTCGCAGAGCAAGGGTGCAGAAGATGCGGGGGACACGAAAGCTCCGGGCGGGTGGGGACCGACGCAGCCGCCCTCGCCCGGCCCTGCTCCAAGGCCGGCTTGGGGTCGGACACACTGCTCTCCTCTGCGTGGCTTTTCTGTATTTTATTCCGTTTTCACTGTGTAATTTTTATTTGTTTCCATTACATTTTTCTTTCTTATTTCCATTCTCTTTTCATCATTTTCCAGCTACTTATGTTGAATCTTGGTTTACTTAGTCTTGCATTTCCTGTTTTTATTTAAAAACTCATATTTAAAACTATAAAGTTCTCTTCAAGTAGAATTTTTGCTTTATTTCTCAAATTTTGACATACAGTGGCATAGGTAGTATTTATTTTTTTTGTGATTATTGACCCATTGGTTATTTTAAACTTTTTTTTCTTCTTTGGTGGCCCTGGGGCTTGAACTGGCAGCCTCTTGCATGCTAGGTGAGTGCTCTACTACGGAGCTCCCAGCCCTGTGTTGGGTATTTGATATTATGCTGCTAGTTTCCAAGTGTCTTGACTGTCTTGCTGTTTCTTGTTTTTTCATTTGAAATTTTATTACACAACATTGGGGACCATATGTTCAAAAATTTCATTCTGTGGAATTCACTGAGACTTTCATTTTATTCTTTCTCTTCTTCCCCTCTTCCTACATAAAAATAAGATGAAACTCGTATCACATTGACACACTTTCAGATGTATGTTCAGTGGCATTTAACGTATTCACAATGTCGTGTAATGACTTTGGTTCTCTAGTGCCAATTTTTTTCTTCCTCCTGAATAATGCTGTCCACACATAACCCTAAGTAAAGGCTCTGGACTCAACTTTCCTGCACCTCCTGCCAAGAACTAATCTGCTTGCTGCCTCTATAATTTTCCTACCTTGGATATTTTAAATAAAAACAATCATACAGTGTGTGGCCTTTCCTGTCTTAGTGTGATGTTTTCAGGTGCATAATATTCCACTATTTGTACATACCACAATTTGCTTATCCATTCATCCCTTGAGATATCCCTGGATATCTCAATTCTTTTCACTTTGGGGGTATTATGAAAAATGTGTGTAAGTTTTTGTATGAATGTCTTAAACAGTTTACCATCTCTAGGACAAAGCACCCAACATCCACAGTTCAATCCATGGTCAGCAGGCTCCAAGGCAAAAGCGGGATGGCAGAGAAAAAGGTGCTGGACCCATGGTCAGGAGGAAGAGAGAGAGGGTGGTGGGGAGGGAGGTCACCCTTCCAGGTCCACCCCAGGTGACCCCTCTTCCGACCAGCGCCACCTCCTAACTACTGGTAGATGGATCTACTCTGAGTGCAGCAGCTCCATGCCGCTCCTGCAGCAGAATCTGGGGACATTTTCCGTCTAAACCAAAACAGTGAATGTCTGCTTTCATTTCTCAGGCATTCGCCTACCAGTGAGCCTGCTGGGTCACATGGCATTGCATGTTCAGCGTCTGAGGCTTTATCCACAGCGACTGCATCACTCTATTTCTCTGCTCCTGCACAAGGTCCCAAAGTTCTCCACAGCACTCACTTTCAGTTGTTT